GTCTTTCGTTAATATTTTTTTTTTTTTTTTTTGCGAAAAAAAATTTTCTGCGTACGATTCGAGAAGAATGATATATTGAAATAGAAAGTCGTATGTTTATTATTATTCAAAAATTAATTAGCTAAATATGTATTATAGAGGTGACAGAATATTTGTTGATGATTGAAATGGTATGGAAAAATTTCAATGATCTTGAAATATGTTCAATATAAGAGAATAATATTTTTATACATCTCTTTTGGAATATACATCACTTTGTAATTTAAATGTTTGTGAATAATTTTAATATATAAATATAATATTGTCTGTTTAGTTGTTAATCATCAATTGTTATGAAACAAAATGCAAATTTTTTATTATAATATAATATTTTTCTCCCTCAGATTCCTAATTAAAGGAAACGAACGAAATCTTAATTATAATCTATTCAAAATATAATTTCATAATTTTAATAGAAATTTTGTTTGGAAATTAATTGTTAATATAACAATATAAATTAATAATGAAAATAAAAAATGAGTCACTTATTGTGTTAAAATATATTCAATATATAAAAAGTTATTATATTTCAAATATTAAAAAATTTCAAACATTATAATGTACTTAATTCTCTTTTATAAATTGAAAATAAATAAAACTAAATTAAATATAATCCGATATTGTTTTAGTTAGATGTATCGGAAAGTACTTCATAATTTTCTTATGTTAGCTTCAATATTAGTATAAAATTACAATTCTACAGTATATAATACTGAAATTAAAATATTTCCTAAACTAATTATTCTCGAAAAAATAATAAATAAATTATTATTTTTTTATAGAGATTATTGAGCTGCATCAATTGATAAAAAATTTATGATTTATATTTGATCTTTCATACAATTATAGAAATAATAATATTAGAATGTATCAAATATCTAAAATCAAATATCAATATTATATAAAATGTTTTTCATTACAAAATAATAAAGTAATTATTATAATTTTATTATAATAATAATAAAATTAGTAATTAAAATATATTATCATAAATTGTAATAATATCAATGAATAAAATGAATAATTTTATATTTATAATAAAAAATTGATCAAATTTTTGTCATTGACAATATGTTTCGAAATTGTTGAAATCAGTAAAATGTGTTCTTTTTTTAAATATATGTTCATAAAGTAACTTTTTAATTATATAAATTTTTACAAACGTGAAATTCGTGAAATAAAAACGATGAATCTTAATTAATATGAGCAGTAGAAAATAATAAGCGTAGAAAATGATAAATTCATCAAATTATAAAAGCGTACTCTTTTTTTTTCATTGTGAGCATCCAGTGTGCCCCCTTGATATTCGTCGCAATGGGAGTTGAAAAGCTCCTTTTTCGTCTTTGCGAAAAGTAATTTTACGTTGGAACCTCGATGAATGCAAAAGAAACGAACAAAGAGATGCGATAAAAATTCCCGAAATGAAATTTTTCTTGATGAAATAAAAATTATTTTTTTACTTAACATATTCGTAGTTTTAAAATTTTTAACTATATATTTACAAAAATTGGATATTATTCAAATAAACTATTTGAAAAATAAAAATTTGAAATAATCATATTATCAATATATGTTATAGTTATGGTTATAATTATTTGAAATGATATATATTGATTTATTTGAATAGATAAATGATCTCTTGATTATTTAGTTATTTGAATTTCAAATAAAATAATTCCATTTTATTAACATTATCAATTATATTTGAAATATAAATTTTTATATATATAGAAATGCTACAGGAATAAATATAAACAATTTTTTTCTAAAATATAATAATGTCATTATCTTGTTCTTATTTTCATAATGTTTTTTGTCATAATATGCTTTTTCCATAAAAATTCCCATATTCTAAGTTCAATAATTAATTTAATTCAATAATCAAATTCATTTATTATTATTATTTTTTATTATTATTATTATTATTATTATTATTTTGTTTAAATCAAATTTACAGAAATTATCTCACTAGATAAATGCCCAGATCCGGTTTTGATTCCAAATATTAAAAAGAACACTACTGTAAATGCTAGTGATTCACAGTTGGCTGAGAAATAACAAGTTATACTACTGAATGGCGAACAGACTATTCCATAAAGTAGAAAAATAACAAATTTAGTAACAAGTACATGTGAATTTTTTTTATAGGATGAATGAATATCATGATATTCATTTTTATGAAATGAATATCATGCAAAAATAGTATAATGATTAATTTGTAATAGCATAAGATTGTATTTTTAATTTAAACTGAAACAAACTATCAAAAATTTAAAATACAAATATATTTGATAAAAATATTTTAATTAATGAATATATAAAAGAAAAGTTAATGTGTTAATGAAAACGAAAAGAACAAAGAAATAATATTTTTTAATATTGCTTGAATTAAAAGTGAGTAAAATAAATGAGCAAAACTATATAAATATAAATAAAACATAATTAAAATATTATATAATTATGAAAAAATATATATACATGCATAATAAGAAATTATGAAACTGTTATGAATCGTTTATTTAGAATCGTTTAGAAAAATATCATATAAAAAAAAACATCAGGTAAATAAAAAAAAAGTACAATCTTATCAATTAATATATTACACAAAGTTTTTGAATAAAAAAAAAAAGGAAGTTTAACATGATTTTCTATTATAAAATGTAAAAATATAATTAATATAAAAATGTCTGTTAAAGTTTATTTTTCAAGTAATAAGCAATATAATTTTATGTCAATTTAATCAAGTAAAATAGATATAAAAGTATAACGGAGGTAAAACTATTTCTTCATTTCATGCAAAATTAAATTGCCTAAATTAAATAATAAATTAGCACAAATGTATTAATATTTTTTTGACTTGCAAATTCTTGAATTTATTTATATTATTTTTAAGTTATTGCTACATTAAAAAATTTTAATTTGCATATTATCTCTGTAAAGTATTAATTAAAATTTTATTTGTATATTATTTTATATAAAATTATTGTAAAAAATATTTTTTCGATTTATCGTATAATAATTATCAAAAAAAATGTTTATATTTAATACCTAATGATAGAAAATGATAAAAAAAATATATATTAGAATGAAATTAATTCGAAATTTTAACGAATAAATAATACTTGTAATTGATAATTATAGTTATCGTTAACGACGAAAGAATTAAATGATTTATTAAAATAAGAAACGTTTCATGTTTAGAATTCACAAACATAGACATTTTTTGTATTACGATAACAATTTTATCCACAATTAACTATTAAATATAATTTTTAGCGAAATCTCGAAAGCTTTTTCTAAACTTCGATAAATATTTTCATAATAAATTTGATATGAAAAATATTATGATTGCTTCTGATCGCTATATTTGTATCTGATTACTACTTACCACGCAATTGATGCCATACTTGTGCCCGGAGAACTCGGCGAACTGCACGGCATTGTATGGGTCAGAGATGTCCCAGACGCGGACGTTTGGCATATGGCCGCACTCGCCAGTCGCCAGAAACCTTCCATCGCCAGCGAGCGCTAAAGAGGTAACTGTTTTACGACAAGCGTTCAACACGTGAGCCTGGGTATTCTTCCGTGGATTGAACAGTACTACGGTGCAGCTGAAACAAATTAATTGTTCGATTATGCTATTTTCTATCAGATAATAATAATATCAATAATTCTTTTATATTATTAAAAACATTTTTAAAAACAATACTTGAGAAAAATGAGTAAAAATTCGAATTCACTAGAAAAATTTTTTTTTTTTACATTTTATTAATGCCAAAGAAAAAAATGTGAAAAAGGCATACAAAATAGAATTTAAAATATTATATATTAATATATATATATTCGTAGGAAACTCGATCAAAATAAATACAAAGTTGCAAAAATATAGAGAAATGTCAAATTTATTTATTAAGTTATATACAGTTGAAATTTGAATTAGAAGTGAATGAAGTATCACATCTACAAATAAAATCATATAGCATTGCATATTAGTGTGTGATAGAAAAGAATATTTGCTTTACCTCAGTGTAAATCTGCAAAATTTCTTTCCAGCTCCTTACTGAACATTTAATTATAACTATTCGCCATTGGAATTATGGAATAACCGCAAGAAAAGAAAAAAGGATTCGCGTTGCAAACATTAATTACGAGTCGTAAAGACAAGTTCCGTGACGTATGAAATTGTAGTTGATTCGAAGGAATGAACAATAACTTAATTTTCTGCCATCTGCCGGTTGCCAGTGAAAGTGACACGAATAATTGCTTACATTGGATATATCTTATTCCAACTTTTCATTTTTATTGATAAAATTGAATAATATACATCTATTTTTTTAAATATAATGTATATAATAATCACAGATATACAAGATATTATTTGCAGGATATTTTTGTATTTTGTAGAAATAATAAATATAAAAGATATATATATATAATATAAATGTAATTTGATGGACTTATAAATATTAAATATTTAATTAAATATTTGAATAATACTTGAATAACTTATTTCCCTCAATATTTATATTTTTTATATGTTATTATAGAAACTGTTTCTTTCAAAATCAATTTGATTTAATGATTTTTGTGAAATTCTTATAAATTCAATCGATAATATGTAACAAAATATTCGCAGCAAATGAATGTGTCACGAGAAGAAAATTAGTAACGCTTGTTTGCAAATGTCGAGCACGCGTACGTGTTTCTTGGTCAATTTGAATAACGTATTAGAAACTTAAGTACACGGTTTTAATTCAGTGACACTCACTTTAGAATTATTTCAAATCATATTTTTTTAATTCGAATTAATTCGATGAATTTGAATTAATTCGATGAATTTTATTTTTCTCGACTTACAATAATGAATAGATAAAAAAATATTTATTTTTAATTCTATTAATTCGTATATCAAAAAATTTCTATTTTTTAATATATTTACAGAATTAAAACTTATATATTTATATATTCAAAATATAAAAATTATTTTTTATATAAATATAAGCTAAGAACTTTTCTTATTTATATTCTTATTATTGCATGTTTCAAAAAATTAAAAGAAATAAGAAATTATGAAATTATAAAAAAATAAAAAAATTAATATAGAATAGAAATCTAAAATAAATATGTACATTACAATATCCAGATTCTAAATGATAACAATGCTTAATAATATAAAACATCCAACGGTTTCTGAACGAGATATGAAAAAAAGAATCGTACAATCGTATTCTCTAAATGTGTTAACGAGCACCACTGGCTAAGTGTAAATAGGCACGCGGTTATTGTGGTAATACGAAACGCGACTCGTGCGGCTCGTTGCATCTCGTTGTCTGCAAAGGCGATTTATTCGCCTGTCACCCTAAACCGCAACGTGTCAATAAACTCAATCCTAACGGAGCGATATTTCTTTTGCACTTGTTCTGATGTTATGTTAACAAAACACAAACATAATGTAATTTCACTGTAATTTTCACATTAAATCTGTAAAACTAAATTGACTGGAAATTTTTTTGTTCTTGGATGACAAATATTATCGATGATGCATGTTAGTTATTCAATTTAAATTAATTGAAAATATCAAGTATTTGATAATATAGTAGATTCGGGATAGATCGGAAAAATTCGGAAACCAAAACAGTATAAAAATATTGAGACTTCAACCGATTTCGTCCGAATTTTTCCAACCTATTTTGAATTTTCAAAGATTAAAAGTAAGAATTACTAGATGTAAAAAAATTATATAGGTTATGTAAAAATGTAGAGTATTTGTATTATGTTTTGATTGATTATTGTTTACTTTCGTATGAAATTATAAATTATGATAATAATATATAATATATAATAATGTTATTAAAATTATAAAATATGATAAATTATATAATAATGTTATTAATGTTATTATTATATAATAATGTAAATTAAAAATTGACGCATAGTATTCAATAAGAAAGTATTCAATTCTAATTAAAACATATAATATACACATATATTTTTTAATATAAACATAAATTTTTCTTTTTAAAATCTACATTAACTTTGCTTATAAATTTCTTATAAATACTTTAAGAAGCAATAAAAAGGAAGCAAATTAGGATTGTTAATGAAGACTTGGTAATTGATGATGTGACACGATGATATGATACGATGTGATCTTTTCATATATATATATACATAAAATTCGTAGATATATAAATTTTAAACATAACCTAATTTTTACACGATGGCTTAAGTTGTAATGATATATACATGATGATATATTCTCTACATTTTACATTTTCTTTACAGTAAAAAATTCTTTTAAAAATACTAGTTAAGAATCAAAATAAAGATCATATATAATATAAGGATAAATAACAATAAACGTTTAACGTTGATCCTTGATGAAAAGTCACGTAGGTTGTTGCACTAAAGCTAAATTAATGGCATAAAATATCCAAGCACTAAACCTAACTTATACAATTACAATGCTAAAAAAAATATGTGCTACTTTCTTGTCGCTAGCTGTTTATAACTGTTTATAGTCTTACAAAAAGTCACGATCTAAACTGGCGACCAAGTTAGATGTCGGTCTCTTTATATTCTCGATTGGTAAACGATTGATTCGAATCGCACGACATCGATGAAAGGCAAATGTTCCAAAGCACGAATACATTTGAGAATAAAATTCTCGAAAATTATTTTTCCATTAAAAAATACTGCATTGAAAATGAAATTTAATTTTGAAAAAAAAAATTCAAGGCAGTATCCAATACTCTCAAAAATTTTATTTATAAATTTACTTACATTCTTAAAGATAAAAATGGCAACAATATATCGATTTCTAGATATCAACATATAACGATAAAAAATATCGATATCTTTATTATCGATTAAATTATATGGCAATTGATATTGAAACCATTAGCATTTTTCGGATTTTAATATTTTTAAATATAATTTTATAATTATATTTTTCATTCATTAAAAAATTATAATGGTATCATTTATTTTCATTAAAATAAAGAAGAAATTATTTATATAGCAAGAACATTTTTAGATAGTGTATCAAACAAATAATGAATTAATGAATTAATGATTTTTATAAACTTTTTATGTTCTGATATAAAATAAATTTTACAAAAATTTTTATCAAAATTCCTAAAAAATCTTTTCCTTCTTAAATAAGTAAAAAAAATATTGATATCGAAATATCAATTATATTATAAACATCAATATTTTATTACAACAATATACCGATTAATTATCCATATATTGATTGATGATAAATACGTCGATTTATAAATTTTTTGCTATCCCTATTTGCTATTTAAAAATTATTATTAAAATTAAAGATTAATAGATTAAATTGAAATAATAAAAAACAAATATTTTATCAATAAAATGAATCCAAAAGATATGATTGTATATCTTTGCAACTTGCAAATCATATATTTTGCAAATCAATTAAAGGATAATATATGAATATAATTTTGTTTCGTCATTTTAACACAGGATGGCGCAATAGTAGTAGTAGAAAAATTATGTAGAAATGATTGTGAGCACATAATTTCATCATTCAAAACAAATAGTGCACAATTTTCGCCGATCGATAATCGCGAGCAATTTCTTCTATGAATCAATTAAGCGCGTCTATGTTCAAGTGTTTGATTAGATTCTATTTGCGAATGAGTCGCCCGTCATGCATATCCGCCATGTTTCCGGTCGTTCGTTTTCGGTTCGCCAAAAACGGATAGATATACGACTAGAAGTTCAAACAGTTTTCCGTTTATTAGATTTATCTTCTAATCTTGTTATTATTTCTTTAAGGAAAGCCCATTGATGGCAACTAGCACGTGATAATCAATAATAAGCAAGTTAAAAACATTAATATACAATTTTAAGATGAATATATATAAAGATCTTATTTAACGTATATTTATATATAAATATATTATACATCTGTGTTTTTAAAGACAAGTTTAAGATACGTAGATATTTAAAACATGATGAAAAATATATCGAATATAACATAAATATATTAAATATATGTGTTTTCAATATACGTTCGAAATCATAACCTCCAAACCATCTATTTGTTTCTTTCATAACCTACAATACGATGTGAATATATGTTTAAATCAATGTATCTTTCACTTGATGCCATGCTTTAATTATGCTTTATTAATTATTTTTTTACAATATAATAATTACAACAACAACAAAGTCCATTATATCCTTTTTTATCATTATGTGAATATCATCAGTAGTAAATTGACTATTAAGACTGTTGTGTTTAATGAGAAAGGTAAATATTCCAGAAAGTGTCAACGTTGTTGTATTTTTGATTCGCTTATTTTTTAGTGAAAGTGAGAAACAATAAGTCCGTCCAAAATAAAAAGATATCTACATTCAACCATTCTCTGATATGTACGTAAAAAAAACTGAGATTCAGTGAAATAGTTTGAAGAAATGGTAGAGATGATTTTGTATTTACTATTGAGGCACTATTGTTAAAGAACAGGGACTGTATATGGGAAAGGAATGGTTAAACCTGTATATTCCCTCTCGTTTTCACCGAAATTAGAATCTTCGAATCGCGTCCATCGTTAAACTAAGCTCGATTAAATCGTCG